CTCTGTCACACCAGCAGTTCCTGTCTCTTGACTATTTCTTCTTGCCTGCCCAGTGCATGGCAGTGGATGTCTTTCTCCCAGTTTAGTCTGTGGCTGACTTCTGAGTGCATAAAGAAGTCCCAGGACAGAATCTGATTGGTTCAGCTGGGATTTGATGTTCATTCACTTCTAAGCCAATCAGTTGTGGTCAGGGAGGGAAATCTCAGCAGGGGGCTTATTTCCCTTTCTTAGGGCATTGTGTGCTCTCTGAAGAGAGACAGACAGAGAGCGAGAAAAAGTGAGAAATCACCTCTGGGCAGCAGGGGGTGGGGAATGGCCACATTGCAATCCCTTTTCCATTCTGCTCTCTGGATTTGGGGCATGCATGCACAAGCACCCAGCATGATTTTCAAGCTGCCAAGTCTAGGACTAACACCATGGTAACTGTATGGGAGTCCAACGTCTTAACCACTATACCACCTGCTGGCCCTGGAAGGGGGCTCTTTAACACTGACTCTGATAATCAGAGTCAGGGGCTGCCACTGACTGACAGGGTCACCCTGCTCATACAACCACGCAAATGTTGCTGGGATGTACTTGGTATTTGAAGATGATACCAGAGATGACAATGAGGCACATCACTGGGGCGTGTTGTAAATGCTTTCTCTGGATATGTACCAAATTTCTTAGGAATTATTTCTGGTGACAGAAGAGAATATTTTAACTATCATTTTAGCATTGATTTTTTTTCCCCTAAAATGTACTTTACTTTTTAGATTTAAAAAAAAAAATTGCTAGGAGGCATTTGTGCTCTCCAGAGAGAGACAGAGAGGGAGAGGAGAAGAGAAAGAGAAGAGAGAAAAAGAAAGCGCCTACCGGGGGGATGGCTAACCTGAATCCCTTCTCCATTCTCTTGGGATTAGGGGCATGCATGTACACACCCGTGGCATGTTTTTCAAGTCAACGTTCCAAGATTTGAATCGCACGGTTGCCCATATGGGATCCAGCTGCCTTAACTGCTACACCACCTAGCTGGTCCAAGAGCTGTTTTGATTTATAGAAAAATCGAGACAAGGGACCAGTAGATGGTGTAATTGTTATATTGCTGGACTCCCATGTAGTTGATTGTGGTTTGAGTCCCCAGACCCAGTGGCTTCAAACTCATGCTGGGCACGTGTGCATGTGTGCCCAAGATCCCAAGAGGAGAATAAAGAAGGGATTATGGCGTATCCATCCCTGTGGGGGGTGATTTCTCACTCTCTGTCTCTCTGTCTTTGTTTCTCTGGTGAGTGCATACACCCTATAGCAAAAATTTCTCTAATAATAAAGAAAAACTGAGACAACCGCCGTCCTGTGGTCTAGTGGTTAAGGGAGTGAGATTCTGGCCCTGGCAGCTGAAAAACATGCCAGGCACATGTGCATGTGTGCTCCAAATCCTGACAGGATAGAGAAATAGAGGAGAAGGGATTGTGACATGACCATGCCCCCTAGTGGGGTGCTTTCTCCCTCATTCTTTCTCTCTGTGGCTCTTTGGGGAGCACACGTGTTCTTCTGGCTTATAAATAATAACAATGAAAAATTATGTAGATAGTATGAAGAGTTTCTATATTCCCTGTATCTAATTTCCCTATTATTAACATTTTACATTAGTATAATCCATTTGTTTACATTAAAGGAATATAATTGTATATTGGTATATTGTTATTAACCAAAGTCCTTAGCTTATTGAGATTTTCTAAGTTTACCTGGTATTTTTTTAGGGCTCTAGTTTCCTATCTAGGACACTATATTACATTTAATTGTCATCTGGTTTTGCTCCTCTTGGTTGTGACAGTTTCTCATGTGCTTGGTTTTTATTTATTTTTATTTTTTAAGGTTTTTTTGCCATAGGGTGTGTGTGCTCACTGGAGACAGACAGTGAGTGGGATTGTGGCCATGTCATAATTCCTTCTCCTCCATTTTCCCCTGTGATTTTGGGCACACACGCATATGTGCCCAGCATAAGTTTCAAGCTGCTGGATCTGGGACTCAAATCATAGTCGACCATGTGGGGGTCTGATGCCTTAATCATTATGCCACCTGCTGGCCCCATGTGCCTAGTTTTTGATGACCTGACAGTTCTAAGAAGTACTGGGCAAGCTATTCTGTAAGATGTTTCACTTGTATTATGACTTTTTTTCTCAAGATATGGCTGGTTAATTAGGAGAGAGAACAAAGATATCTATTTTCTTTCTTTCCTTTTTTTTTTAATTACCAGAGAGCATATGAACTTATAAGAGAGAGAAAGAGAGAGAGAGCAAGAGAGCGCCCTCTGACAAGGTGTGGTCATGCCACAATGCCTTCTCCTTCATTTCGCCATCCTGTTGGGATTTGGGGCATGCACCTGCACCTGGCACATTTTTCAAGCTGCCAGGGCTTGGGTGGGATGCAAATAGCAGTTGGCCATATGGGTCTGGGCCCTTAACCACTAGGCTACAGGGCTAACCCAAGGTCTCTATTTTCATCACATCATATCAAGCATACATACTGACATCATGATTTTTTTTTTGAGAGGTTTTTGCTATAGGGCATGTGCGCTCGCCAGAAAAACAGAGACAGAGAGGCAGAAAGCGAGAAATCACCCCCCAGAGGGGATGGCCATGCTGCAATCTTTTCTCCTCCATTCTCCTCTCGGGATCTTGGGCACGCATGCATACGCACCTGGCGTGAGTTTAAGCCACCAGGTCAGGGACTCAAACCATGCTAGGCTTCATGGGGGTTCAGTGACATAGCCATTATGGCAACTGCTTGGTCCAACATCATGATTTTTAAATTTGGACTGTTGATCAGCTGGCTGAGGTAGTGTTTCTCGTTTCTCCATTGCAAAGTTACTATTTTTTGCCCTTTTCCACACTGTACACTTTTGAAGGAAGTAACTATGCAACATCTATGTCTAATGAAAGGGGAGTTATGAATCCCCTCCTTGAAAGCAGAGTATCTACAAAATTATATGAAATTACTATTATTATTGTTATTATTTGGTGCTAGAGGGTACGTGCACACACTACAGAGAGAGAGACAGACACACAGAGAGGAGAATTTATAAATAATTAAGGTTTGAAGTCTACAATGATCCATGTGGTAATGGATTAGAGTTGATGCATCAGCAATAACTCATGTCCTATTTAACATAGGTACAGATGATTACATATCAAAATATTTATAGATATGTATATATACTTGAGCTAGTGAAAAGCATATATTTTTTTCTATGGGGAATGGTCACACTGCAATCCATTCTCCATTTTGTCTCTTGGGATTTTGGACATGTGTGCATTCACATATGCCCAGCATGTTTTTCAAGCTACCGGATCTGAGACTCAAACACGCAGTTGGCCATGTGGGATCCGGCTGATTTAACCACCAGGCTATGGAGCCAGCCCTTATTTTGTAACTCTTTTGTATGTTATTATACTTTCTTAGGCTCCCATAACAAGTTGGCAGGTGACTTAACAGAAATTTGTCTCGCAGTTCTGGAAGCTAGCACTCCAAAGTCAGGGTGGCAGTGAGACCATGATCCCTCTGAAGTCTTAGGAAAGAATCTTTCCTCGCCTCTTCCAGCCTCTGGTGGCCCCAGTTTTTCATTGTTTTGTGGTAGCATAACTCTGGGCTCTGCCTCTATCTTCACATGATTGTCTTCTCTGTGTATCTATGTCCTCATTTCTTTCTTTTTCTTTTTTTGAGAGATTTTTTTGCTATAGGTGTGTGAGCTTGCCAGAAAGACAGAGACAGAAAGTGAGAAATCACCCCCCAGGGAGGATGGCCACGCTGCAATCCCTTCTCCTCCATTCTCCTCTCGGGATCTTGGGCACGCACACACACGCAACCGGTGTGAGTTTAAGCCACTGGGTCTGGGACTCAAACCACGGTTAACTACATGGGAGTTCAGTGACATTGCCATTACGCCAATTGCTGGTCCCTGTCCTCATTTCTTTCTTTCTTTCTTTCTTTCTTTCTTTCTTTCTTTCTTTCTTTCTTTCTTTCTTTCTTTCTTTCTTTCTTTCTTTCCTTCCTTCCTTCCTTCCTTCCTTCCTTCCTTCCTTCCTTCCTTCCTTTCTTTCTTTTTTGAGAGGTTTTTGCTATAGGGCGTGTGTGTTCACCAAAAAGACAGAGAGACAGAAAGTGGGAAATCATCCCCTGGGGGGATGGTCACACTGCAATCCCTTCTCCTCCATTCTCCTCTCAGGATCTTGGGCACGCAGGCACATGCACCCGGCATGAGTTTAAGTCACCGGGTCTGGGACTCGAACCGCAGTCGACTACATGGGAGTCCAGAGACATAGCCATTACGCTAACTGTTGGTCCCCCTCTTTTTTGTTTTTTAATAAGAAAAAAAAAGAGTTTTTTGTTATTGGGCATGTGTGTTCACCAGAAAGACAGAGACAGACAGAAAGTGAGAAATCACCCCCCAGGGAGGGTGGCCACACTGCAATCCCTTCTCCTCCATTCTCCTCTTGGGATCTTAGGTACGCACACACATGCACCTGGTGTGAGTTTAAGCCACCGGGTCCAGGACTTGAACCACGGTTGAGTACATAGGAGGCCAGCAACATAGCGATTATGCCAACTGCTGGTCCCTGTCCTCATTTCTTATGATACCAATCATTGGAATAAGGGCTAACTCTAAGTCCAGTAGGATATCTCAAGAACCTTAACTAATTACATCTGCAAAGACCTTATTTCCAAATAAGATTATATTCTGAAGTTCTGGATTTTGGGGGATACATTATTCAGCTCACTCCATTCTGTACAAGAGATTTGTTTCTTTCCTCCAATTATTCAATGACCTATTTATGTATTATGGGCTCATGAATATTTATTTTATATTTTATAATATAATCAAATGCTATTTTTTTTTTTTTTTTTTGCTTTAATTGTTTCGGCTTTGGCTATTGGGAGTTCTTTCATTTATTTCTGTGACACATCTCATTACAAATTTTTTGGGAGCATTTTCTTACCTTCTTGCACTACAAGATACTCACCTGGTATTTTTCCTGTCCCATTCCTGGAATCAGCCTTTTTTCCAAGGAGCTCTGATTCTTTTTATTGAAGAATAGCATTAGATACCAAGATCTGGGCATTAGAGAGTCTTCTGGCTTGAGATGTCATTTCTTTAAGGCTGATAGAGCAAAAAAGATATGCTTTGTACTAACCAAAGTACATACACATTCTGTAGATGTTTCTATATTAAACTAATCATGAATTTATACTGATACTTCCAACTCTAATCCATGATCATGGTTCATTCTATACTTCCAATCTTAATTACCTATTACCTATAAATCCCTATGCTAACAGTAAAAAACCTGGTTTCCACTATGTCCTTCTTTTACTAAATTGTCCCACTCCATTATATATGTATAGCAAAATCAGAAATATTAACTTATGCCCACATAGGAAATGACTTTATCAATTAGTGTACAATGCTATGTGCAGTTCCTTCTGCCTTAGTCTACAGATTCTTTTTTTTTTTTTCTTCCTTTTTTTTCTTGGAGAGGTTTTTGCTACAGGCACGTGTGCTCGCCAGTCAGGCAGAGACAGACAGAGAGACAGAAAGCTAGAAATCTCCCCCCAGGAGGGATGCCACACCGCAATCCCTTCTCCTCCATTCTCCTCTTGGGATCTTGGGCACGCACGCACACGTGCCAGCGTGAGTTTTTTACGCCACCAGGTCCGGGATGCGAACTGTGGTCAACTACATGGGAGTTCAGTGACATAGCCATTACGGTAACTGCTGGTCCCTAGTCTACAGATTCTTTATTTTAATTTTTTTGAGAGACTTTTGCTATAGGGCACATGTGCTTGCCAGAGAGACCAAGAGACAGAAAGTGAGAAGTCACCCCCTCCCCTTCCCCGGGAGGATGGCCACAGTGCAATCCCTCCTCCTCTGTTCTCGGGATTCTGAGCATGCATGCACATGCACCCAGTTTTAATTTTAAGCTGCCAGGTCTGGGACTTGACCCAGTCGACTACCTGGGAGTCCAGCAATATAATCATGCCATGTGCTGGTCCCTTAGTCTACAGATTCAACTCATCCCCAAAATTTCCTTAGGTCAAAATTCCCTTCAGTAAAGTTGTCACATGTATTCATATTATATATATGAATATTCATATTATATATGCATATATACTAATATATATTTATATAATTACATTCTCTTATCATAGTTTGCATTCCTTTTTGGGATTCCCAACCCCCTATTTTTTAAAAAAATCATATATATTAAGACTGAGTCGACAGACAGAGATAAGATACTAAAATTGGCAAGAGAAAAATGTCAAGTTACTTTCAAAGGATATCCCATCAGGCTAACATTATACCTCTCATCAAAACAATGCAAGCAAGGAAAGAATGGGAAAATATATTTAAAGTGTTAAGTGAAAAACAATTTCAACTAAAAATACTATACCCGGCAAGATTATCCTTCATGTGGGAAGAAAAGATAAAAACATTCTTAAATAAAACCTGAGAGAATTGACCAACACCAGACCAGCTCTTCAAGAAGTTCTGAAAGGAGTAAAATACCAGGAAAACCAAAGACAGACAAATAAGAGAACAAAAATTGACAACAACAACAAAAAAGGTCAACTTAATGGCAGGGACAAGTTCTGAAAAATCAATAATAATGTTGAATGTTAACAAAAGGTCAGACCACAGTAACACTGCAAATTCAACCAAAGAGAGATTACATGAGATTGAACTGGTGAAATAGAATTGTATGACTTTTTTCTAAAACATTACTGATTTTCTTATATGCTTTGTCTTCCAGATTTTTGTTTTCTTTTGAGTTGTTGGGTTCAGCAATTTGTTAAAAAAAAAAATTAAATTGAAACATAAACTTTTCTCCCTTCCTGAAAAAAAAAAAAAAAAAAGTAACAGTCTGTCCGTCAGCATCTGTTGACTGATAGGTTTTCATCCTCCTAGAATTTCTCCCAGAAAAGAGTTAAGAAATGCGTAATGTTGGGCCAGCTTGTGGCACAGTGGTTGAGGTGGCTGGATCCCACATGGCCAACTGTGTGGTTTGAGTCCTAGACACAGCAACTGGAAAAACACACTGAGCATATGTGAGTGGGTGCCCAAAATCCTGAAAGGAGAGAGAAATGACTATGGTATGACCATTCTCCATAGGAGGTGTTATCTCACTTTCCTTCTCTCTCTGTCTCTCTCTCTCTGGAGAGTACAAGCACCCTCTGGCCCTTTTTCATTAGAAGTTTTTAAAATTTGCCAGAGGGTGCATGTGCTTGACAGAGAGGAAAAGAGAGAAAACTTTCCTCAATGGGGGAATGTGTCCATCCTTTCTCCTCCTGCACCCTGTTGGGATTTGGGGGTATGTATATATGTATATGCATGTTTGTCAAGACACTGGGGCAGGGATTCAACTGTGGTCTGTCACATGGAACCGTTAGGCCACAGGGCTGACCTATAACTTAAAGGAAGAAAAAGAGCTACAGTGAAACCAAACACTCTCTTCCTGAAAAAAATAAAAATTCTTCTAAATTTAAAAAGAAATTATTAAATAGTAAGAGAATGGGAACATTATGTGTTTGGTTAAACTTGGTTTTTCTTACTAGGTTTTTCTTTACATTTCCATATAATAAAACTTTGTCATCTGTTTAATGAAAATCAGAAGATACTTAATGATGGTCAAATAGACAACATACACTCACATTTTTTTTTTTCTTTTAGTTTGCTATAAAGTACATGTGCTCACCAGAGAGAAACAGAGATTCTGGGCACATGAGCACATGTACCTGGTGTGTTTTTCAAGCCAGGTGGTCTGGGACTCAAACAACAGTTGGCTATGTGGGATCCAGCTACCCTAACCAACATACCACCTGGTTGGCCCAAAACACGCACACACATTTAAAAATTTATTGAAAGGAAAAAAATTTAAAACCTGAACTTGGGCCAGCAGGTGGTGTGATGGTTAAGGTGCTGGACTCCCACATGGCTAACCACAGTTAAGTCCCGGACCCAGTGGCTTGGAAATCACACAGATGCCACTTCAGTGGCATGTCCAAAATCCCAAGAGGAGAATGAAGGGGAGGGATGGCGGTGTGGTCTGCTCTGGGAGTGATGTCTCACTTTCCCCATCTCTGTCTCTGGTGAGTGCACTTGCCTTATGGTGAAATCCTTAAAAACAAACAATCAAAAAAACCCCAGAACCTACAGATCTCCAAGAAAAATATTCAATAAAAGTGACAATTGCTAGGGAAACCCTGGGAAAACACACCTACTATCTATATAAGCCCCAAAATATAGATAATGAATTCAGAATATTATTCTTTCTTCTCCCTCATTATTTTTTTGTCTTATAGAGGCTGGACATTCTTAAGTATGAATACTGCATAAATAAACAAACAGCAAACCTTGCTTAGCTTTTAATGTACACATTTAACTACCTCTACTGACTGAACTGAGGCCAAGTAGAATCTTTCATAACCTATGTTGGATTTGCTTGAAGTCAGATTATGAGTGTCAGTGATATAGAGCTTGAAGATGACGATTTGCTTTGTGAGTCAACTAGAGATTATAATTCAAAATCTTGCTTTATTAGATGTATATCCTTGATTTCCCTACTTGGCCTGTTTACTTTACTTTGTGCTCAGAGACCTGTGGAATGTGTGTTTGAGTGACACGGCTTTCCTTTGCCAAGAAGACAATAAATTGACTTTTGTTTTAGATTGTTACTTGGTGGTTTGTTTCTTACTATCGGCACTCCCAAATCATGTGCAATTCAGCTTTTGTAGCATAATTTTTATGCCCAAAAGTTTCTAACTTGCACTCCTTTTTGATAGGAATAGAGTCTTTGTCATCATTTCATCTTTAAGAATTTCCAGAATTTTCACTTATTCAGTTTGGGCAATAACAGAATCTATTTTCTTCTTGTAATTTTGGTTTCAGTTATTTCTAAGTTCTAATTCTATTGGATCGTCAGAAAGGTCATGATGTAGGTTTCTATGACAAAATGCATCATGACTTTTCTGACAACCCAATAATTTTGACGGATCATATTTTAGGTCTGCAGTGTAGCTATCAGTTTAGTATTTTTCCAACCCTCTTCTGCTTTATTAGTTCTACTGTTTCTTGTTTCTCAACTCCCCCCCCCCCCCGGATTCCTTCATCAGTTTGTTGGCACACATGTTCAAGTAATTATTTTCAGAAAGGGTATGTAAGAAATTTCAGTGTCCTCGCTTGCCTTCAATATTTTCTTGTCTTCACTTTGGCTTGACAGTGCAATTGGATAAGAAGTTTTCTTTCAAAATTTCAGTATTTTAACAACTGGCATTAAAATTGGTCTAAGGGAGGGGACTGTCTAAGGGATGGGAGGGGACTGTCTAAGGGATGGGAAGAATACCCTGATAAGCTCTAGTGGGTACAAGACAAGGGCAGGACTGTTTGTGAGTGACCAAGAGAAAAAGGACCCTGCTCATTAAGAGATAAGGGGAGGAACTTGTATTGGTTCTGAGAGAGGATTGGAGGGAGAAAGAGGAGGGGCTGTCTAATGCTCAATGTGAAGTAGAATGTGTTGCTGTGGTGCTTTTGAAAAATTTATGTCCACAAATTTTTTTTGATGTCTCTCTTAGAGAGATGGAGCTTAAAGCTCCTTTCCTTGAGTGTGGGTTAGAGTCCCCGCTAATGAATAGAACCAAACAGCAGTAATGGTGTGTGACTTTGGAGACTAGGTCATAAAAAGGCACTGTGGCTTCCCTCTTGGTTTCCATTTCCTCCTCCTTAAAAGCTTGTTCTGGGGGAAGCCAGCTGCTATGCGGAAGTTTGACATTCTGAGGCTGCCATGCTAAGCGGAAGCCCAAGCTAGCTAGGGAGAAAGACAGAATCACAGAAAGATGCCAACCATCCTCCAGCTATCCAAGTGTTTCTAGCTCAGTTGCCATGGAGGAGTCCGACCCGGTAGGGCTCCAGGATTTGTCTGAGCCCCCCTGCTTTTGGTCGCTTTAGTATGTTGGCAAGGCCACTACTGTGTGCCCCCCCAACCTAAGATTTTGCTCTAGAAACTGTGGCAGCCTTGCTGGGAAGCGACCCCCTTTGACTCCCCAATATACTACTGTAAAAAAATTACATAGCTCTCTTATACATCCTGAGTATA